TTCAGGACACTTGGTATCATCATTCGCTTCCTTCCTAGGACGTTCTAGAAGGAACTGTGGTGGAAGATTAAAGAGAGGCTTCTGGGCCTCCCTTACATCTCTCTGTAGGCGTACTGGGTGTGAAGAAACATTGCCTAATTAGAGGTCTCATGCCAGTTCAACATTTCAACACATTAGACCCTGGTTTTCTGTCTCAAGCATGTGATGACTAACTTAAAGAGTTTCACCAACATCCATTTCCAAACTATATAGTCACTTAAGTTTCTTTTAGCAATTTTATATTTGATTCTTAATTCACTTGGGATTTTAATTATCATACACAGTAGCGATATAACTTTTATTCCCAGTAAAGTTTATAACCATGATTTTAATTATCCTCTATATAAAGGGCTCCACCTGGAATGTTCTGTTCTTCTCTAATCGGTTTCTCCATATCTGTGGCATCACATTACATACACGGCTATATCCTTAAAGTACTCTGAGCTGGTTCTATTCTAAATGCTTTCTTGAGTTTTCTTAGTCATTTCCTCTTTTAGCTAAAATTTAAAGTCAAACTTGTAAAATGATAGCAACAATTCTGCTAGGATATTGACCTCTGTTGACTCCAAATGATCAACTATTCAAAGACTTTCCAGCTTACGCGCAATAGGAGCCCCTTCCTTTCGGGGACACAGCTTGGGATTTGGGATTAAAATCATACACTTTTCAGTCTTAACTCTCTCTACTCAACCACACTAATTTGTTGAGTACAAAAACTCAACCATGGCTGTGGCTGAGAACATGAGCGGACGCTCGAGGATAGTAAAAACTTCATATTCTGACAGTTTCCAAATACTAAGAGCCCAGGTTCATTTTTCAAATGACTGTTGCATGTTATTGCATTTTTATTTTTTCAAATGCTCTAGGAAATACTTGTGACGCTTCGCTTTAGACCATGAATGTAGTCTTATCGCTATCTCCTGCGTATAAGCTAAGGTATAAAGGCCTATGAAATTAATGGTAGATGCCATTGTAAATTGATATGTAGTTGGAAATGCACCCCATTTCTTAAAAAAAATAAAATAAAATGAAAAAGGAAACTAGCACCCTTAACTATATCTTTCTGTAAAATATAGATGGGCCCTTTAAGAAGGTTGGAGACAGCTCACTTCTTTACTGTCCTAGACTAATCAAAGCACATGATTAGTAATATATCACTGCCCTAAAATTGCATCCTGGGAAGTGTTTTCACTTAGCTGTAATGGAAAACACTGGGCGACCACTAAGCCCTGTGGAGAAGTGGTTAACTATTATCCTTGTTTATGAAGTAGGATGAGTTTAAAGAGGAGTGAGTGCTGAAGGCTAAGCTCTTTGTTTCTTCTTCGTCAGTATTTTTCCATCCAAATTGAAATTGAAACATTGACAAACGTCAGCAAGCTCAAGTTAGCTGACAAAAGAAGCCAGAGGCAGAGAGTTAGAACCAGAGATGGCTCCGCAGATAGCACGGGGCCCAGCAGGTGGCAATAGAGGCTCCTTTCTTCCCTCCCTGTCCGGGCTCTTCCATCATTCGCTACTTAACCCATCATTAAGGCACACATAATTTTCTGTGGTCTCTTGGTTGTCATGGAAATAAGGATGCAAGGAACTAGGGTTGGATAGGAAGAAGGCAGTACGTAAAATGTAAGCCCAGGAGTGCTTGTTTCATTTTCCCAGCTCACTGAGCCCGCCTTTGCATAAGCAACATGGGTAATTCAGTGGTCTCTGCACAGGCTCAACATCGTAAAGACTTTTTTTAGTTGGGGGAGAACAGTAAAATTTAATAAGAAATAACTTTCTGCTTAATAATTAGGTTCAGCTTCTTAGTTCAAAGGGCGCTCACTCAAATGTTTGAACTACTAATGATTGTTTATAAAAATAAGTGTTTTCATTCAAAGAAGAGAGGGAGCGAGCAGGGAGGGGTTTTTCAGGAAACAGGTTTAGCGGAGGGCATTTCTATGATAGGGTAGAGCGGCATTTTCGAGTCACCCAAAGTGAAAGACGAGCTGATCTGCAGGACGTTTCCCTTGATTTGGCCTGAGAACAGGCAGGCATTTCTTCCAGGGCTTTAAGTTTTCGTTTCCTTTTATTTTTAAAACACAGTGGGTGGAAACAAAGTAAACTTGGGAGCTTAAAGCCCGAGCTTAAACTCGCCAGCCCCATCCATGATTAGGTGTGGGGTCTTAAGAAATGACTCATTCTTTCTGCGGCTCAGTTTCTGGATCCACAAAGCGTTTGCCTCACAAGGTTGTAATCAGTATAAAGTGCCCCGAACAGTGTTTTTGCAAAGAAATAACGCAACTAATAATGAGTATTGGTGAAAAGACCACTAGCGTCCCTGCTTATTTATTTAGTATCTATCCTACATTTCCCAGGTCCTTAAAAGACCACTTAGGTCCGTGTGCCTGACATAGCCATTCACATACACTCAACAGAACGGAGGACTGATTGGAAGCTGAAACCGTATGCACTAAAGTCCCGCCTTGACTTGGAGGGCACATGCTCAGCTGGTAGGTGGAGAGGAGCCACCAAACCCACACTAGGGTGTGAGGAGGGTGACAGAAATTTGTGTAAAGTCGCTGACACTGTAGAGTTCTCCCTTTACCACAGCACAGCTATGAAGGAAGATGTGGGCTTTGAAAATTTATTTGACTTCCTTTGACTATTGTTGTTGCTAGATAATGACCAAGAAAATGTCTAAATGAACAGCAGAACAACTTTTAGTTCTTGTGCCGAGAATGCTTTCGGCATAGGGACTTTGTCTTGCCATTGAAACCTCAGTGCCAAGAAGCATGCTGGCACAGAACACACGCTTAAGAACATTTGTGAAGGTCCTGTGCATTTTCAATATGCACAACATTCTGCATATATTGCAGAGCGTACTAGAAAGTCAAAACATGGTCTTGACCCTCAAGCCAAAGGAAAAAGACAAGTAGTTCATCAGCTCCTACCAGTGAGTAATGCCAATCAACAGTGTTAATGCCGCAACCAAGAAATGTTATATTTAATTGCTAATTAATGAAATGGAGTTTATGCATCTCCGAATGAGGACTGCAAACAGCTGGGAGGGGAGGAAAGGAGAGCTTGGTAGATTAGAGAAGGGAGACCCAGGCCAGCTAGTAATTCAATGGAAAGGCTAGTGAAATGACTATAGTGGTTAGATTTTAATTTAGCTTTTTACTATATTCCTCCATTCTCTCTCTCTCTCTCTCTCTCTCTCTCTCTCTCTCTCTCTCTCTTCTTTGTGAACAAGTGTGCTATGACCGTCATGTAGAGGTCAAAGGACCTTGCATCAGCTGGTTCATTTCTAACTCTGTCATGTGGGTCCGAGGTATCAGGTCATCATGGCTTAATAGCAAGTGGTTTACCAATTGAACCATCTTGCTAACCTTAAAATTGAAAAAAAACATACTAAGTGTGCGGATATGAATTTTCATGAGTGTCAATGCACACACACACAAAGTACAGCTCTCATCTTAAAGAGAATAAGAGAGGCTTATTCTGGAGCCATTTTGAGAGGTCGTGGTCTTGGATCACAGATTTAGATTACCCCAAATCCCATGTTCCAATGTGAAAGCAGTGTCATAAAGTTTCACAGTTTTCCGAAACAAAGAGAGTTCCAAATTAAGGCGAGCTTAAAATACAGGTGAGCACATCAGCACATCAGAGAGGAGGCTACGGGAAGATGGAGGAAGTTTTCTATTGGCCTAACATTCTATCTAATGACAATCTTATCTTCTGGGGATCTGCTAAGTAAATAGATTCCTGTCAATTCGTTTTTGATCAGTAGCCACATAATGTTAGTGTGACACACACGGGCAAGGAATGACTGCTCCAGGATCTAAAGCTAGTTCGAGATGAAGTAATCTTCTAGACCTGCAATATTCCAATCTCGTCATTGTTCTGGAGTTCTAGTCAGTCAGTCTCTTCAGCAAAGACTTCTTTTCAGGAGTTTTCATTCACGCAAGACAAGTAGTGTTGTAGTTTAATGTGAAATCTCCCCTACAAGTTCAACTGATAGCACCATGGTGGAAGGTTCTGGAACCTTACAGAGATGGAGTCTTGCTAGAGGAAGTGGATCACAGGGGTCAGTCTGGAGGTTTTCAGAGCTGGGCTCTTCTTCCTGTCTTCTTGCTGCTTCCTAACTCAGAATGCAATGTGACCAGAACATAGTAAGACAAAGAAAAACATCTCCTACATATCTGTAGAGCACATTAATGCAATTCCACAGTCTATATCCCAGTATTTCTTTCTGGAATGTGTTGACTCTTTAAAAGTCTGCTTAGGACTCTGAACTACAAGCGCCATGAATAATGGGTGAAATTCCTTCCTTGGCTCTACCACAAGAGGGATCATTAGGTTAGAGATGGATTGATAGGGTTGGAAGTGAAGAGTAAACTCATGAAATCATGAAGAAAATCTCAGCATTTTGCAACCTTTTATAAATTAGCACCGAATTTCTGAAGAAAGGAGCATTGAGAGGAAAGTCTCATTTTTTTTTTTCAGGACAAGCTGACCAGAGATAATTCATTCCTACCAGTCAGGTCCTAGCATTCAAGGACAGTATAGGACCCAGAAGAGAATAGAAGCTGACAATTATGTTCTCTTGGGGGAGGAGGGGGAAACAGGCAGGAGAAGGGGTAGAGGAAGAACTAGGAGAATAGGAGGAAGAGGAAGAGAAGGTAGTAGGAGAAAGAGAAGTCAAAACAGCCAAGCATGGCTAACTAGATGTGAATATTAATCACTGGATACTATTGCTTGGTGTGATTCCAAGAAACAACTTACATTCCATACATGGACTTTCTCTAAACTCATGAGACATTTCTTTTTCCGAGTGTTCTTTTGATTTCTTATCTGTTGTCACCAAGGTATTTCTTAATGACCCGGCCCTGGAAGTAACAGCATATCACCTATTACAAGCCAATCACCATGACATTGACGTTAACTTGACAAAAATCACTTTCCAATCTACTGAAGACTTTTAATGGGTCCTGGCAAAGGAAGAGGTCAGTTTGAACAATTGTAGGATTACCGAAGCACATGAGACATTTCAGAATGCTCAAAGAATCAGTCCGTCCTAGATGCAGATTGCTGAATGTCCATTCCGTAACTATCTCTAGGACTGGAGAACTTTGCAAGCGTTTCTTTAATGCCTCCAGCCATTTCTACCACTGCACAATGACTTTAGTAATGCCACTCAAGGAACTGTGGCTAGAAGTTAATGACATCGTTCGTGTGAAGTGTGGCACATAGCAAACGGCATTCAAGAATAATCATTGAGCATATTTATATATGGTATATGGCGAAGGAGCCAACATGAGGAGGGCAAGCGCTGGAGAAGCACAGGAGCACCGCCTCTGGAATCTCGTCTTTGCACAAGCTACACCCCTTCGTTCTCCGGAGGATGCAGATGGGAACGCACCCAACGCAAGCAGCTGGGATCCATTCTCTCTGGACTCCATCTCGCAGCAGACGTCCGCATTAGCACGCAGCATCTTTCCTCTGGGGTTTGCAGTTCACGGCGTGTCTTGGGGTCTGATACACTGCAGCTACCTTCTAATGAAACCGAAGCAATTATCTTAATTTTTGCTTAGTAAGACTTTGCTGGACATGCCAGGCCTGGATAAATAGTTTCTGACGGATGAAACAGTTTATAATTCCCCAAGAGCTTTATAGCGTTCCTGGAAAATAGACCTTTACACTTACTGTGTGTGCACAGCAGTTGCTGTGTGGGAAGAGTTCTCAGTCTAAACAACAAAAGCAACTAAGGATTTCTTTCTTTTTTTTTTAAAGCATATATGATCTCCCTACAAGACTAAGGCTCTCTTTTACTTCAAATGTTAAAACTACTGTTTGATTTTAGTATACATAAAAACACAAGAGCAAGTATGAGCCCCATTCATACGCTACCCATGTCAGCCTTGCAGGGCCCTTTCATGGATGCTGAACATGGCTTTTCTTTGCCCCTGCCTTTACAATTCATGGCGAGTCTGACCTCTTGTTTTGGGGCCTTCTCTGGCGTATGAAAATAATAAAGGAGCTGTGTATTAAGCGGAGGTTAAGTAGCCTTTGAAAGTGTTGTTTAGGTTTTATATGATCTAGTTAAAAATAAATGGAAATAAAGAGAAATATTTTAACTTGCTCCAAATGGCATTACAGTGTGACAGGAGAGACTCATACACCTCTATCCATTTACTCCTCAGTCCTTAGTTTCCATCAGACATGCCAACAGCAGTTGGTAAAAGAGGTACTTGCCCTCTTTCCTCTTCTTTCTCATCTCATCTTTTGGCTCTAGGTCATCGTAATGTTCTCCCACCCTCTTGGCAGTAGCATTCGTGAGTCATGTGAAATACCGCGCGACATTTTGAATTTTATTTTTATGTACATGATCAGTTAGCATAATAAAACCCCTGATTTCCCTAGACATGATGTTGAGACAATTCTCCATGTGTCTCCTGTTTCTGTGCATCTTACAAATAGCAGACCTTTCGCCCTGTTAAGGATATTTGTATGTGAGTAGCCCTGGAAGATACGCTGTCTCCCTCCTAAGCAGAGATCAGGCAAATACTGCTATTGTGAAAACATCGCTGAGGTCCCCTGACCTCAGAATCTCTGTTCTGTACCAACCCACCATAGCTTCAGGAGCATCATGGTTCTCCCTGCATCGACCTGGAGAACTGGGGGCTCTGCCATTACCACAGAGGTATGTTTCTTCTTAATGTGTGCAAAAAGATCTCTACCTCTGATTAGGAACCTAAGTCTTTTTCCAGTAGTCAAGTACTGGGACATTCAATGGACATACATGTAGGCTAAAATTTTAAATTTTCCCCACTTTTTAATGTGTAATTTTAACTGAAAATGATTCCCAAATATCTGCTGATGTATAAAAGCCAGGGAAAGCAATCTTCGCACATGTACTAGGATTTGTGCTTTAGCAAAGAAAACCGTCTTGATACCAGTGCATAAAAAGAACTGCGCTTACTTATTTATGCTCCCTTGAATCATTATTCTGGAACCCTCTTTAAAACTGCCAACAAAAAGCATTCAACCCTTAAACCATTTTCTAAATGTTATCATTCACCAAGGATTAAATCCAATAAATGACTAGAGCCATTTGTGTTTAGCAAAAACATGAAATGTATGTGTGTCCCCACTGTAAAGAATGACTGAACAGCCTGATTCATTTATTCAGATCAGCTCATCTGCTAAGGTTAAAAATATTTGTCACAGATAGGAATAAAATAGGCATGTTTCTTGATTTTAGGTAAGTTGCCCACTAATGGAAAGTAAAATATTAAAAACCATAAAATACAAATTACATAAAATACAAATTATGAATACTAGAAAACTATGAAGAAAATAAACACTCAAAAATACTGTAGAAATGTGATATTAAAAGGTAGATAATTTTGCTTTTTTTGTCTCTAAACCAAAAGTTTTATATGTTAACATGACTAAAAGCATTTTTCTTATACATGCTTGTGTGTGTACCTATGTGTGTGTATCCGGCAACCAAACAGAAAATGAAAACTGAATCTGAGAGCAGTGAGACGTGCCTGTAATCCTAGCACTGGGGAGCCAGAAACAGGAGGGCCTGGAGATCAAGGCCATTATTTGGCTACATATGGAGTTTGAGGCCTCCCTAAGGCCTTTTGACTCAATAAAAAAAAGTTGCATAAGAAAGAAAAAAGTACGAAAATATGTGTCCTTCACAAATTTACCCAACCAAAATACCACTTCCCTTGTCTAAAGACAAGAAAGAAAACGTTGTCCCATTGACAGTCTTGGAGAAGAACTTACAGTTTGTTGGTTATTGCAAGGGAATTAGAAGCTGGAGAGTCTGAGAAAATGAAGAGGCATTTCATGTCCCAAGGCAGCAAAGTAGATTTAAATATGGAAGATTCCTTCTCCTTTTTCAGCAATGTTTGGAAATACTCAGGTGACTGAAGCCTGCAATGACAAGCATTTAACATATTAATTAAAACACAAGCCCATATAAACATGAATCATTTTGAAAACACATAGCAACAGCTGATTATAACAGTAAATTTTAAAAAAATCAGAAAAGCAGAAACCTATCAAATGTCCTACATAATTGAATAGTATATATGTGCGAATGCATATATACTACTTGAGCAGAAAACTCAATGAACAGGGTTATCTGGTGTTCTGGGAACTACTGGGAATATTCTGATATAATCATATCTGTCTGTCTTTCCCTTTTCTGAATGTTCTTAGAGTAGAGTATGTCTGTCCCCTTGACTTATTGTAATTAATTTATTTGTGTTTGAACTATTCTACATTATGCCCATAAGTTGATAAAATTTGTACTTTGGGAAGGCTTTACCATAAAATCTGAGTATAAAGGGCTATTTTTGAGTGCAGATGAAGAAAAGATGAGAGAGAGAAGGATTTGATGGAGTCTTTTTAGAAGCTATTATTATGCACACGTAGATTAAAGGAATCTAATCCTGTTGAAATTTTCCTTTGAAGGTGGTGCCAGAAAGGAATTTATTTTTCTTTGTAGTAATGCTAGGACTTAAAATAACTTACCTAGTAATTAGTTACTTCATGGGAAAGAAAAGTCTCACTAGTGTTTGCGTTACTAGAGACGAAGGCAACGAAGCCAAGATGCGGTAGACCAATTCTCTTCCTCAGTCAGCGGTGGTAGATGTTTATCTGCTTCTCCTTGATCACTCCGTGTACATCTGGATGAGGCCAAGGCTTTCTGCCAAGAATACAGAACTGATCCTTGTTAGCCAGGAAACCATATTGCGTGCAGCTATTGCTTCTGGCTTGATGACCCTCACTGCATAGCTCCCTTTGAACAATGATCGGTCAGTATAAGTTTCCTGCTGTTAAAAGGTGACTACAGTTCACCTAGGCTTAAGATTTCTGCTTTCCTTTCTTTTCACTATTTCCAAAAAGTCTAGGAGATGAAGCAGAAGGCATAACCAAGAACCTTAACGAGTTAGAACTCTCCAGATGATCAGAAAAGCATTGAACTTTCTTGTAAATATACGGGAAACAATGAGAAGAATTGGACCAAGGAAGGGCATGATCATATTTTCATTTTCTGGTAATCATTCCTTCCCGAAGCTTGAATACAACCCTGTTTAGAACAGGAGACTGGGAAATGACCAGCCAGGAGGGCACGGCTATAGGTCACTGAAGAGAAAGGTGTGGGTGACTTGTACCTAGACAATGACAGTAAATTTGGCAAGAGGTAGTAATTTAGTGAACAGGCTGGATTTCCTGGTGGGTTGTGAGACTTATGAGAATAGACATAATTGGCTAGGATACTGGCAGAGAAACTGTGTGAACTAAAGGAAAGTTTGTTTACTAAGGTGGGAACACAGGACAGCGGAGGGAGCATCCCAGGTTAACTTTTGAACAAATTAGGTTCAAGACGCCTGCGTTATATCCAAGGTTGGTCCTACTCTGGAGATCAGGGATGCTCACGGATGAGGTAGTTACCAGGAAGTCAGAGGTTCAACCAATCGCCTCTGACCTCGTGCCGAACCCTCCCCCGCCCACTGTCATCACCAAGGAAACCAGACGCGATAACCTGCCACCAAAGCTGGATTCATGGCAGACGCTAAGCAAGCAGTTTTGGGGCCGTTGGTAGGGGCGGTGGATCAAGGGACCAGCTCAACACGTTTTTTGGTTTTCAATCCTAAAACTGCTGAAGTACTTAATTTCCATCAAGTGCAAATAAAACAGGAGTTCCCAAAAGAAGGATGGGTAGAGGAAGACCCAAAGGAAATCCTGCAGTCCATGTACGACTGTATAGAGAAAACATGTGAGAAACTTAGACAGCAGAGCATCGAGATTTCCAAAATAAAAGCTATTGGTGTCACCAATCAGCGAGAAACTACTGTAGTCTGGGACAAGTTAACCGGAGAACCTCTCTACAATGCGTTGGTGTGGCTTGACCTAAGGACCCAGTCCACTGTGGAGAAACTCAACAAAAGCATTTCGGTAAGCAATAATTTTGTCAAGACCAAGACAGGCCTCCCAATCAGCACTTACTTCAGCGCGGTGAAACTTCACTGGCTCATTGGCAATGTGAGGAAAGTGCAAAAGGCTATTGAAGATGGCAGAGCGCTCTTTGGGACGATTGACTCATGGCTCATCTGGAACATGACTGGAGGCGTCAATGGAGGTGTCCACTGTACCGACGTAAGTAACGCGAGCAGGACCATGATTTTCAATATCCATTCTTTGCAATGGGATGAAGAGCTCTGCAATTTTTTTGGAATTCCCATGAGCATCCTTCCCAGAATCCGGAGCTCTTCTGAGATCTATGGCCTAATGAAAACGGGGGCGTTGGAAGGTGTGCCAATATCCGGGTGTCTGGGGGACCAGTCTGCTGCTTTGGTGGGGCAACTGTGCCTCCAGGATGGACAAGCCAAAAACACATATGGAACAGGCTGTTTCTTACTATGTAACACAGGCCAAAAGTGTGTAACTTCTGAACACGGTCTTCTGACCACAGTGGCATACAAACTTGGCAGAGACGAACCTGTCTGTTATGCTCTGGAAGGTTCTGTAGCTATAGCTGGCGCTGTTGTTAGCTGGCTCAAAGACAATATGAAAATTATTAAGGCATCAAAAGATATTGAAAAACTTGCTGAAGAAGTAGGCAGTTCTTATGACTGCTACTTTGTTCCAGCATTTTCCGGGTTATATGCACCTTATTGGGACCCCAGTGCAAGAGGGATCATCTGTGGACTCACTCAGTTTACCAATAAAAACCATATTGCCTTTGCTTCCCTAGAAGCTGTTTGTTTCCAAGTCCGAGAGATTTTAGATGCCATGAATCGCGATTGTGGAATCCCACTGAAACATTTACAGGTAGATGGAGGAATGACCGAAAACAAAATTCTTATGCAACTGCAAGCAGACATTCTTTGCATTCCAGTGATGAAACCTTCCATGCCAGAGACAACTGCCCTGGGAGCCGCCATGGCAGCAGGGGCAGCAGAAGGAGTTAGCGTGTGGAGTCTGGATCCCAAGGACTTATCAGTGGTCCAAATGGAGAAGTTTCAACCTCGGATCAAAGCTGAGGAAAGCGAAGTCCGTTATTCCACATGGAAGAAAGCTGTGATGAAGTCAATGGGTTGGGTTATGACTCAGTCTCCCGAAGGTGGTGGTGACTCCAGTATCTTTGCCAGTCTGACTCTGGGCTTTTATGTAGTGAGTAGCATGATGATACTGATTGGAGCAAGGTACATCTAAGGTATCCCACAAATCGTGCTACCTTGTGGATTCTTCACTTTAGAGCAATCCAGCAGTTGTCTCAATGTGATGCCTCCGTTTAGACTCTGAATTTGTTGATGTGTCCCTTGTTGCATGTATCTCAAAGAAGACCCATGGTGTGAAATAAAGAAGGGCCGCAGAAAAAGAAGTGCCACAGAAGGATTACTTTCTTTTTCTTAACATTAGCCGTTTTCACTGGGGTGAGCCCCTCTGAGTAGAACCCCCTCCAGGGTACTAACATCCTGCCCGTTTCTTATTCACATTTTGTCCATTGTGATCTTTGACCACACTGGGATCTGGATGAGCCGGGGTTTGTGGCTCTGCACCCAAATGCCTACTTATGGGTTTTTACTCACCTTCTAAAAGTGATTCACATTTTGTTTACAATACAGCCTACACTACAAGGCATTTCCAAAGAGACCACATCTGATTACGTGTGCTATTGAGTTTTTATGATCTACTTAATTTTTAAAATCCTTTTTTGCTTTTTTCATTTTTATTTTTATTTATTCTTCTCTCATATTTTCTCTCCCTCCTTTCCTTACAATCCTTCCTTCCACCCACCACCCCCATCCACTCCTCTTCCTTTCCCTTCAGAAAAGGACAAGGCAAGGCCTCCAAGGGATATCAACCAAACATGGCATATCAAGTTGCAAAAAGAGTAGGTACTTCCCTTCATAATAAGGCTGGTGCAGGCAACCAAGTAGGAAGAAAAGAGTCCCAAAAGCAAACAAAAGAGTCAGAGACAGGTCCCGCTCCCTCTGTTAGTAGTCCCACAAGAAGACCAAGCTACACAACTCTTACCTATATGCAGGGGGCCTCAACCAGATCATTCAGGCTCCCTAGATGTGAGTTCAGTCTCTGTGAGTCCCTATGAGCCAAGGTTAGTTGATTCTGTGGGTTTTCTTGTGATGTGCTTGCTCCCTCTGGCTCTTATAATCCTTCCTCCCTCTCTTCAGCAGGATTCCCCAAGCTCAGCCTAATGTTTGATTGTGGATCTCTGCATCCGTTTCCACCAGTTGCTGGATGCATCCTCTCTGATGACTATTGGGCTAAGTATATCAGAATATCATCAGCCATCATTACACTGACATTTTTTTTTTCTTCCACTCGTGTTTGGTTCTATCCTAGGTCTCTGGGCCATTCAGCTTCTGGGTCCCGATTTCTCCAGGCAGCAACAGGAGTGGCCTCACTCTTGTGGCATGGGTCTCAGGCTGGAACAGTCATTGGGTGGCCACTCGTACAATCTCTGCACCACCCCTTACCCCAGCATGTCCCATAGGCAGGACAGACTGTAGGTCGAAGGCTATGTAGCTGGACTATAGCGTCCCAGTCTCCCTACTGAAAGTCTTGCCTGGTCACAGGAAATGAACAATTGGGGCCGCCATATCCACATTTGCTAGGAGTCTCAGCTGGGGTCATCCTTGTAGATTGCTGGGAGTTTCCCTTGCACCATGTTTCTACCTGATCCCCAAATGCCCCCATTTTCCAGTTGGCTATTTTAGTACTCTGCTCCCACCCACCCAAGTCTACCCACAAAATCTCTTCTATTTCCCCTTCCCAGGGAGATCTGTGTGTTCCCCCCACCCTTGTTACGTAACTTCTCTGGGTCTGTGAATTGCAGCTTGGTTATTCTTTACAGCTAATATCCACTTATAAGTGACTACATACCATTTTTGTATTTCTGGGTCTGTGTATTCCATTTTTAGTTGGATTATTTAGTTTGTTGATTTGTACTTTCTCAAGTTTGTTATATTATCCTGGAAATCAGCCCTCGGTCACAGGTGGAGCTGGTGAAAATCTTTTCCAATTCCGTAGGCTACCCATTTCGTCCTATTACCTTAGTGAAATTTTTCAGTTTCATGAGGTCCCATCTATTAAATGTTGATCATAGTGCCTGTGTTATTGGTGATCTATTAAGAAAGTTGTCTCCTGTGCCAATGTGTCAAGGGTATTCCCCACATTCTTTTCTCTCAGGTTCAGTGTATCTAATTTTATGCTATTTTGATCCACTTGGACTTGAGTTTTGTGTACGGTGGTAGGTATGGATCTCTTGGCATTTTTCTGCATGCCACATCCAATTAGACCAACATCGTTTCTCAAAGATGTTTTCTTTTTCCATTGTATAATTCGGGCTTCTTTGTCAAAAATCAGGAGTCCACAAGTGTGTGGATTTACATCTGAGTCTTCGGTTCAACTCCATTGATCCACCTGTCTGTTTTTCTGCCACTCCCACGAGGTTTTGGTCACCAGGGCTCTGCAGTAGAATTTGAGGCCTGGGATGGTGATGCCTCCAGACATTTATCTATTGGACAGGACTGTTTTATCTATCCTGGGTTTTTTGTTTTTCCATATGAAGTTGGAATTGTTCTGCCAAGATTGTAAAGAATTGCATTAGAATTTTGATGCGGATTGCATCGAATCTGTAGATTGTTTAGAGTAAGAGCCATTTTTACTATGCTAATCCTACTGATCCATGTGTATGTGAGATCTTTCCATGCTCTGGTATCTTCTTCAATTTCTTTCTTCAAAGACTAAGTTCTTATCATAAAGGTCTTTCACTCACTTGATTAGAATTATAGCAAGATATTTTACATTATTTGCAGCTATTGTGAAGAGTATTGTTTTTCTGATTTCTTCCTCAGCCTATTTATCAATTATATATAGGAAGACTACTGATTTTTTGTGGGGGGGGCATTAATCTTTATCTAGCCTCTTTGCTGAAGGTGTTCATCAGCTATAGGAGTTTCTTGGAAAAAAATTTTGCTATAGGAGAATTTTTGCAGTCATTTATGTATATTATCATATCACCTGCAAAAAGCAATACTTTGACTTCTTCCTTCCCAATTTGTAGCCTCTTGATCTCCTTTAGTTGTCTTATTGCTCTAGCTAGAACTTCAAGTACTATATTCAATAGATATGGAGAGAGTGGACAGCCTTGTCTTGATCTTGATTTTAATGAAATTGCTTTGCATTTCTGTCTATTTAATTTGATGTTGACTACAGACTTGCTACACATTGCTTTCATTATGTTTATGTATGTCTCTTATATCTCTGATCTCTCTAAGACTCAGGATTTTTTTCAAAGGCTTTTTCTGCATATAATGAGGTGATCATGTAGGATTTGAGTTTAGTTTATTTCTTCAGTTGATTTATACAGTGGATTACACTCACTGATTTTCGTATCTTAAACCATCTCTGCATCTCTGGGGTGAAGCCT